TTGAACCCACGTACCTGATGGCTGAACGTCCGTTGATATATTTGGAATACTGTTAAATATTATAACCCCCACTGATGTGCTAGACCCCACGTACCTGATGGCTGAACGTCCTGTGATATATTTGGAATACTGTTACATATTACAACCCCCACTGATGTGCTAGACCCAATGTACCTGATGGCTGAACGTCCTGTGATATATTTGGAATACTGTTACATATTATTACCCCCACTGATGTGCTAGACCCCATGTACCTGATGGCTGAACGTCCTGTGATATATTTGGAATACTGTTACATATTATTACCCCCACTGATGTGCTAGACCCAATGTACCTGATGGCTGCACGTCCTGTGATATATTTGGAATACTGTTATATATTATAACCCCCACTGATGTGCTAGACCCAATGTACCTGATGGCTGCACGTCCTGTGATATATTTGGAATACTGTTACATATTATAACCCCCACTGATGTGCTAGACCCCATGTACCTGATGGCTGCACGTCCCGTGACGGGGTAGAAGAAGTCGTCTAGGTTGTATATAAACTCAGTCCTCTGAGAAGGAAGACCCATACGTATAGAGTCCCATTGACTTACTCCATCTATAGATGCATCTGAAATAACAGTGAATATACAGTAAGTTGAGCATGTGGCCACAATAACAAGAAATGGTGCTGTAGCTTCTATCAGTGACTTACTCCATCTATAGACGCTTCTGCAATAACAGTGGATATACAGTAGGTTGCGCCTGTGGCTGCAATAACAGTAATTGGTACAGTAGCTGCTATCACTGGCTAACTCCATCTCAAGTGCATCTGCAATAACAGTAAACTGTACTGTAAACTTGGCGAGTGTGGGTGAGTACTGATTAACGCTGCACTGTGAAAGTGTGATCTATTCCAACGACAACACAGCGGCTGTGATTGGTCTGAACCAGCCAAGCCCGTTTTTCACTGTGGAGCAACGACACATGTCGTTAGGGCACAATGAGAGACAGTCAACATGGTCACACAATGCAACCGCCCCATCCTCAATAATCCGCCGTTACGACAAGCATTGGGTGAGACTGGGGCGGGTTTCTGCCCCGTAGTTTCTTTAACCTCACGTGAAAGAAGAGTTCCACCAAACAACGCCCAATCAGCAGGACAGTGTAAACCACCTGTTCAGACGGACTCACCCGTTCACACCACACATGTCAATTCGCTGTATACGTGCAACACACTGGGACGCGACGTTACAGCCTATTGCACCTCAACTCAGTGTGACCTTGAGACAGGGTCACCAGGGAGCAAATAGATATAACTGGTATCTGTCATCTCTGATGGTTTATTCCGGCATCCAAATTTGGCATCCAGTAATATTTCTTATTGGCTATAATTATGACCCACCAGGAGAAAAGGGGCAACATGGGTGCTAGGATACAGTTGTGATTTGACGTCATAAGAAAGACGTTTGACGTCAACTTACTTCTATAAAAATCACCCTTTGTGCGGACTGTTCAACAATATCGTAAAACTATTCTTCTCTCGTTAGTTCGTAATGTAGCGGAAAAACAACATTACAAACATTTCAATACATGTCTACTTTCAATTAGTCAAACATTTCAATACATGTCTACTTACAATTAATCAAACATTTCAATACATGTCTACTTGCAATTAATCAAACATTTCAATACATGTCTACTTACAATTTATCAAACATTTCAATACATGTCTACTTGCAATTAATCAAACATTTCAATACATGTCTACTTACAATTAATCAAACATTTCAATACATGTCTACTTACAATTAATCAAACATTTCAATACATGTCTACTTGCAATTAATCAAACATTATTTCTAAAAACAGCAGTCATAAAATTAACAGTAATAAGTCTGAAATGGAACTCTTCAAATGTTTGATGCCATGCATCTCTGTAATAAATACGAATTGAAGCTTGTGAATTGTATTTTTGAGTTCCTAAGATTCTTAGTCAAAACGTGATTTTTCACCCCAAAACAGTAAATAGACACTTGGATACGTAATTTGCTATGCAATGGAAACTGAAAATGTCATTTCTCTCCACAGATAATACGTACGTCAACAGCCTCGTTTTATAGAAACCATTACGATGACGTCGATCTATTGTTGTCGAGCGAGGAATTCGCTTGTCATTCATAACGTGCATTGTAACAAGTACAGCTGACGCAAACATAGGTCCTGATGCAAAGTTATAGATACACATAAACCATAACATGCTTTAAGTCAGTACTCACTCCAATCTCTTGATTCCGAAAGTAGAATCAACAGATTCTCATAGCTTTTCCATTACCTATACTACACAAAAGAAGTTACAGAACTGATTTTTTCATAAGACTATAACTGATGGGTATCGAAACACACAGCTTTCCAATGGTGGGTGTTCGTTGACGTGTTTTGAGTAGAATATAACACTAGCATATATTTACATACAAACATGTTATACAGACCTGGCTTCCCTCCCGCTGCAGCTAAGATAGTTGGAACATAGTCGACAGCGTGGAAGAACCTGGAACAATGGTTATACAAAACTGAGCATCATCCTCGGTGCTCCAGGGTAGTGTAACTCCCTGATTATTTTAAAAATATACTGGACCCATTCCCAACCGTACAGTCCGTTTGAACCATATTTAAATGACGCAACCCTAAAATTATCATCCAATAAGATTACACTCAGGAGCGACAGAAATCCTTAGTTAATGATAAGGAAGGAGCTTTGGTTGCGAATCGGTCCAGGGTATTTATCATAATAAAATGGAAAATATAATACCCGGGATAATCGAGGATGAGGTGCACTTGTGTTTTTAATTTTGTGCAAGTTCATTTCTAAAGTGGTAAAGTTTATTTTGGCCGTCAGTTTACATAAAATATCCGCACAATTGAAAGGGTTATCATATCTGAAGTTGCATATCTCTATATTCAAAACACAGTGAGCGTATCTCCTAAATAACTATATTTGTTTGTTTCTTGTTAACGCCGCAATCATCAATATTCCAACCATAATACAGCGGTCTGTATATAATCGAGTCTGGACCAGGCAATCCAGTGATTGACACCATGAGCATCAATATACGCAATTTGTATACAATGACATGCATCAACCAAGTCAGCGAGCCTGACCACCCGATCCCCTTAGTCGCCTCTTACGACAAACATAGGTTGCTGCATACCAGTTCTACCCCGGATCTTTAGGTATATACGGGGGTAACTATATCCCAATGAGCCTACACGTGAAAACACTGGCCTGAGGCTTTCAACTGTATTTCAGTTATAAACTGTATACAGTCACGGCGTGTCAGCCCGAATTGATGCCCGAATTGATGCTGGTCTCTGACGTATACCATTTCGACTAAAAAAGAATCAGATTCAGACCGAATCTACAGTTCCAACCAACGGTCATCGAATCCTGGCACGACTAAGGGAAACAATGACATCAGTGATATAGGCTTACCCATCGTACGTGTATCCGGTGCGTTTTAGCCCAACCCCATGGGCAAATGACGTCACCCTCGTGCCCCCCTCCCACACCGTGTGTTTGCCGCCACGGAGAGGCCAGTTGTTACCGTAGGCAACCAGTTCGCCGCCATTCTGAGACAATCATTGGGAAAAGCAGAATAAATAAGTAAACTATATTATTATGGAAAAAGAATACTCTTCATCTTCAGTTAGATATCTTTTGAAAGAATAGCGAACTATTTTTTGTTTCCATAGGGAATTTCAAATAATTGGAACCGTTTGGTTTGATAAGCGTTAGTGTATACATCTGAATGGGGAAAATGTACTTACATCAGCTGTAAAAAAGATGAGTGTGTTATCAAACACTTTCTGTTCCTGTAGAGCCCGCGTGACGTTACCGATAGCATCGTCAAGGGCTGTCACCATTCCTGGAAACACAGCATAACAAGGGTCTTACACAGGTCTCCAAAAATACAGAGAATCGAAGGGAGGTAACTGAAGTGATCGCGATGTCGGCCATATTTAATTGACGAAGGTCAAGATCGTCTCCAAGCACCCACACGACGTTGAACCCCATTTCATCTTACCTCACCTGGTCAAGACCAGTCAAAAGGGACTTGGCTGAAACGGACATGTACACGCAATTAGTGTACTTGCTAAACGGGATTTGAGGGATTTTACGCCGGTTTGAAGAGTATTTCAGTTACATCAAGACATCAGATTGATGTGGGAGAAGAAATTGACTTCAATGGAGCTGACATTCTCAGTTGAACATAAGCTTCTGACCTCTCTGTTGCTAAGGGACACAACTCTTGGTGACTGACGTGTGATAGGGGTATCCTTACCACAAAATTTCCGACGACCGATGTTTACAACGTTTGGATACATGTCTTCATACTGCTTTGGTACCTGGAAATAAAACACATCATATCAACCAGCTGTAGACGTACATGTGTTGTGAGAGAGTGTGTGTGAGAATGTTGTTTTAAGCCGCGGTGAAACACATTACATCTGTCACTGCCTGCTATGAGTAATAGAGCGGACTAGGCAAACCAGTGGTTGATATCAGGACAAGAGATACGAGGACATGTCATCCATGTCACTGAGCCTGACCGCCCGATCCACACTTGTGTCGGCTTCTACGACAGGCCAGGGGCTCTATGGCCGAGGTGAGACACCACAAGTATCCTGTACAGGCAACGCTAAAGTCAAAACATGGATCCGTGAAGTCGGATTGAAGAGCAGATGGCTATCTGGGTCAGGGAAACCAGAGATTGATATCACGAACAACGATCTGTGCGACGATGAATTTAACGATTATACACTATAAACCACATCACATCCCTATGATTATGTACAGATAAAGACAAACACAAGATGTACACAGCAAGTCGTTCTGTATTATCAACCATAGAAAGCTAAAATACTACAATATCATTCAATATTCTCCAACATACTACAATGCCCTTCTATATTCTCAAAACATACTACAATACCATTCCATATTCTCCAACATATAACAGTACCATTCCATATTCTCCAACATTTTACAGTACCATTCCATATTCTCCAACATATTACAGTACCTTTCCATATTCTCCAACATTTTACAGTACAATCCATATTCTCCAACATATTACCGTACCATCCATATTCTCAAACATATTACAGCACCATTCCATATTCTCCAACATATTACAGTACCTTTCCATATTCTCCATCATTTTACAGTACCATTCTATATTCTCCAACATATTACAGTACCATTCCATATTCTCAAACATATTACAGCACTATTCCATATTCTCCAACATATTACAGTACCTTTCCATATTCCCCAACATACTATAATACCATTCCATATTCTCCAACATATTACAGCACCATTCTATATTCTCCAACATATTACAGTACCATTCCATATTCTCCAACATATTACAGCACCATTCCATATTCTCCAACATATTACAGCACCATTCTATATTCTCCAACATATTACAGCACCATTCTATATTCCCCAACATATTACAGCACCATTCTATATTCTCCAACATATTACAGTACCATTCCATATTCTCCAACATATTACAGCACCATTCTATATTCTCCAACATATTACAGTACCATTCCATATTCTCCAACATATTACAGCACCATTCCATATTCTCCAATATATTACAGCACCATTCTATATTCTCCAACATATTACAGCACCATTCTATATTCTCCAACATATTACAGTACCATTCCATATTCTCCAACATATTACAATACCATTCCATATTCTCCAACATACTACAATACCATTCCATATTCTCCAACATATTACAGCACCATTCCATATTCTCCAACATATTACAGCACCATTCTATATTCTCCAACATATGACAGTACCATTCCATATTCCCCAACATATTACAATACCATTCCATATTCTCCAACATGGTACAGTACCAGATCCTAGATCTATACATTTTACGTTTCTTGATAGTCCTTTTGATTTTTTTATTTATTTTTAAAAGATAATCCTCCTTTACCAGCTGTGCACATATAATCCAACAATCACGATTGCTACACAGTAGGTCAGGTAAAGTTCTCGATTTAATGTTGACTACGTGTTACCACTGTGGACAAGGTAAGCGTGTATGGACGCTGCAAATTCGTTCATGAGATTGTGCTTTTTACTTAAAATAGTACACAAAATAAATATCTTTTGGAAAAGAGAGCCACAAGGCTCTGTAGCTGACCTGAATTATGAAATAATTATTTGATAACACTTCAACCTTATTTTGGTACAATGGATAGAATTATCATTAAACCATCCGCATGTTATCAGAAATGAGCGGGTCATAACTTGATGATATAAGTTATAGTGTCTTTAGTTGCCCTTTACGGTGTCATTAGGCTAGCAGAGAAATATTTGACGTCATCCTATATTATGTTCTATGACGTTGCTATTTGTAAATCAGTTACCTCCGTTGTAAGCCTTTTCTCTTCAATATTGTATCAATAAAGTCACGAACGTGGTTTCTTTGAAATCAATGTCTTAGCTCATCACAATTAATTTTATATTGAAACACAAAACAGGGTCAAATGGCGAATTTCTGTATTAGAATAATCACATGAAATATGTGAGGTGGGTGTTGGAAAATCCAAAATGGCTGTTATTGACGGTATACGGACTCATATTAGGTCAGTCAGATCCATCTTTGATTTCTACTGACGGTATATTTCTACTCATCGGGCAGTTAATGAAAGTACTCGGGCTTCTGCAAATGATAATGCTCTGAAAAATAGCGTTGCCCTTATAATAGTGAGTTAAGGAAAAATGGTGCAAATGATTATGTAAAAAAGAAAGAAAAGTAGTCTTGCACCATCATTTAAGACAACGATGTCGAGAGCAAATAGTGATGCCACTAAAAAAATGGATCTTCCTTTGGTTATAACACTTATACAATGATGTAACCTGCAATGGGATGACCTCAGCTGTTTGTGCAGCAGCAGGTACTAAGATCTGATTTTAATGAGATTGAGAATGTACTGAATAGTGGTATTTCCATACCCAACTATTACGCGACTCATCAGCCACAGTCAACTGTCGTAACAATTGGTATATTAAATTTACAACGGTTTTGGGGGACATTTCTTAGGGCAATGAAATTAATAATAAGTCTGACGTGATCAGTCACACAACCTTATATCTGCTACACCAAATTCTATACTATACCTAATATGTGGGGTGTTGCTACACCTACCTCTATAGGGGCGTGGACGGACTGGAAGGGCAGGTATATAAAGAATGGCTTGGACTTGTCATGGTTGTTTATGATATCTACAGCCTCCTTGGCAAACCGGAACTGAAACACAAACAGAAATCAGTACTCTGTGGAAAGATGCGCTTCTTCTTAACCATCCAACATGATACTATGTTATACATAATTATAATACATCATATTTCATTATCCTACATACAACTGCGGTAAATTGCATCATACTGCATTATACCACACCATATTGCATCATACTGCATTATACCAAACCATATTGCATGATACAACATCATACTGCATTATACCACACCATATTGCATGATACCACTTCAGGCTTCATCATACTTCGCAATACTGCATTATGCCATATCACGATACATCATACTGCAATATACTGCATCATGTTGCATTATACCACACCATACTGTATTGTACCACACCATGCTGCATTATACTACATTATAATTAATACTGCATTATACCACATCATGCTGCATTATACTACATCATAACGTATTATGCTACATGTACATCATACTGCATGCTAATACACCCTTCTGCATTATACTACCTAATACTACCTCATACCACATCATACTGAATTATACTAGATGATAATAATCAGCATACCCTTGACTGCAGAATGATAACATGAGACTATATGTGAGTCTAGAAGTGTTTACATAAGACTATATGTGAGTCTAGAAGTGTTTACATAAGACTATATGTGAGTCTAGAAGTGTTCACATAAGACTATATCTGAGTCTAGAAGTGTTTAAATAAGACTATATGTGAGTCTAGAAGTGTTTACATAAGACTATATATGAGTCTAGAAGTGTTTACATTAGACTATATGTGATTCTAGAAGAGTGTTAATGTGAGACTATATGTGAGTCATTAATGGAATCTATACGTACGGCTGAGTACTCCCCTGTAGCGTTGCGTACGACGTCCGTATTATCTCGGTAGTCCAAGTATCCAGCTGTAGTGGTCAAGTAAAGGTATCTAACAAAACACTTCCTTGGAACATTTGGAAAGAATTGTGATTATAACAGTACAGGAAGCCATGATACTTTAAACACGTACGGCAAAGTGGCTTGCTATTGTTCTGAGCGCAATTATTAACAGCTTCGTGTATGCTTTATGTTGACCGCCTAAAGAGATACAGGTTTTTTTCTGCAAACTCAAGAATCTCGATCAAGATGAATCTGGGAATCGAACCCACGAAGGCGGATCCTGCGCCTATGGCGCCGTGTACCACTAGGCCACACGGGGAACCCTTTTTACTGAATCTGGATATCAGACCGAAAAAAACCCTCATGTGAATAAAGACAATGTTTTTGCTATTGCAACCAGCCAGCGACTGCTGACACCTTCGTGAATCAATGGATCGAGTGATGCTTGCAGCAATATTCAAGCAATATCATGGCCGGGGACACCAGATATGGGCTTCAAACATTGTAGCAATGTGGATAATCGAACCCTGGCCTTGGCTTTAACAACCAGAGTGCCTTGACACTCCTCAGTGTATTGAACACTGTATGTAACACATTAGAGTCGCCCTGTTCGGTTCTGTCTACTGTTATGTGGTGAGGTGAGGAGAAACGTGGCTTAACGTCGAGTTCAGGTATATTTCACTCACAAAGCGACGTGCATGCACGTGTGTGTGACAGCTTGTACTAGTCCGGTCTGAGGCCGGTTTTATAATACTAGCCCACTGAGATACAATGATGCAGTTTAACGAGAATACCCCACTCAGACACAGTATACTGCCTGTAACTCGGACAATTCAAATTTATCCCCTTGTTTTTATCGTCAGGCAGGGCAAGAGGAAGGACCATCTCAAAACGCCTTTTAGTTTGACGCGATCAGGGGTTCGAACCACCCACTCTCCGGGCAGACCAATCCTCTACATCACATCACGTACGAGGGTTGGCTTAACGGTTCTTAGCCTCACGCTGATGGACCTCGTTGATTGATTTGGATGTCGTTGTTTTTCAATATAATCCCCTCCGAGGTCCATACCCATCTGCCAAAGATGCTGGAGTGCCTGGATCGAACTGCATGTGTATTAAGTCCTCGTCTGCAGAAATGACGTCATCATCATTAATTATGCTTAATGCTTGCCAGACAGCTCTTTCTCCAAGTTTGGGAAGAGGTGGACGTCTGACAGTTCCAGTTCTGATGAATACGAAGTTCAATGGGTTTAAAGGAACAGTTGACAGAGTTGTGCCCAGGTGCATTCTCGTAGTGGAACAACATACCTTGAATGAGACGGCGCTTATACACACAGTTGCCGAAGCAGATTAGCATAATTTGGCCACCTTTTGGGCGGTAGTCCACCAGAAAATAGAAGCCATCACCTTGCCTTCTGTTTGAACAGACTTTGCCCTTTTCTAGTTTGACTGTTGCTTAGCCTCTGGTTGATAGTTGTGAACGCAAGACTCTTCATCCATTGTAAGACATCGTTCAACATAATCAGCTGAGTCTGATTCCAAACATCCTGAATTCTTCAGAGAGATGATGAACCTGGAGCGTTTCTGATCAGGACTCGGATACCTTTGATCCCAGCGGGCTGAAAACTTTGTCATGCTCACTTCATCCCATTCCTCAGAGGGATTTCACCTCTCTCGTGAGATATGCCTGCTGTATTGGCTATGTCCAAACACTTCTGCCAACGACGTTAGTGTGCTTTGACCCAACTGGTGTAGAAGGTTTCCCCCTGGCGATGTAGAACGTTCCCCACAGCAGACATATCGACATCATCATTTGCAGAATGTTCACAGCTCTGGCATGAGTGATGCCTACTGTATTGGCTGTGTGATGTGTGTTTGGTCTTCCATCACCCATGATCTATCATGCACACTATGAAAAAAACAGGTTATAGGGGGAATCATTTAAGACACATCTTCTGATCTGTATGGTTTGGGAAGTCTTGAGTGAACCTCTATTCGTCAGAAAACATTATGATATACTGACAGTCGATTATCCCAGTGTTGATGTTCACTACACCATTGACGGCTCTAATTCAAATAGCGTATAGTTCGTTGTGGGATGACATATGGACGTTGGATCTGGGTATTGTACTCCACCAGTTGTCTTTTGCCTTGTCTGATTGGCAGTGTGAAACCGATTTCTTAATGCCTTCATTCTGACTGACATGTCCTGGGCTGGAGTTGTTGCCCTTGGGAGTGCTGAGTGGCGTCGATCATCGACGTTATGTGTTTGTTGGTACCGGACCCACACTCTACTGATGACAGATTGAGAAACATGCAGGTAACACTATTCTGACGTGTGCCCACATACAACATGCCTATGGCACGTAAACATTCATGACGTTGGATGATCAATGCTGTTGCATTCTTAATGATTAAATGTGTTTAAAAACTGAGGGTTTGTTTCCAAGAAAAACAATATGCCCACAACCGGCGTACCACTTCTTGCACGTGCTGCCCGAGGTCACGTGCTTCATGACTGCCAAAATGTTGTGTTTGGGTGCTCGATTTCTTCGAAATATTTCTCGCCACATAAATCAGTTTCTTCCATTGCCAGGCATTGATGTACTTCCCTGTAGTTTCACCTCGAAACCTAACATCCTCTACTTTTTTAGCATAGCATATTTTATCATCAGTTTCCTTAGTGGTGGCAGCTGAAAGTGTTTCTGATCTCATCTTCGAGGCTCGACGCCAACGGGAGTACACGGATCAACCGACGTGCAGGAGAAAGAACGGCTCCTTGTTAAAGTCAGGAGAATGTACCGTTTGGCGACAGAGAATAGAACTGGTTGTCATTGACGGATATCCCCGTGTTACTTTGACGTCGTCTAACGTCCCGCAGTGTTACCGTCCTTGACAACTAACATATCGTCCTGAGTGTAATCTGTGAAATCGCCTATTTCACCCCTAGTGCTGTGTGGTATCTGTGATGTTGAAACGTGATGGTCAATAGTGTGTTTCTCGGAGGTTATACCTCGCCAAATGAATTCCCTTTTCAAAATACAATATTTGCATCAACATGTGGCCTGCCTTTTTATCATTTTGATAAACTGCTCGGTTTACTTTCTCTGACTATTGTCAGTTTACCCAGCGCAAATATTGGGATCATCCCAATGATGTTTGTTTGTCTGCCTGTTCGTTCGTTTGTTGTTTGTTTGTTTGTTTGTTTGTTTGTTTGTTTGTTGTTAAACGCCGCACTCAGCAATGTTCCAGCTATGTGACGGCGGTCTGTAAATAATGTTTGGACCAGACACTCCACTTGATATCATGAGTAGGCTCTACGCAATTGTGATGCAAAGACATGCATCAGCCAAGTCAGCGAGTCTGACCACCCGATCATGTTAGTCGCCTCGTATGACAAGCATGGGTTCCTGACGACCAATTCTCTTCACGGGATCGTCCCCAGCATGAGTGGCACCCACGTTTCATAAATCCGTCACTCCGCATTTTCAACATGTTTACCAATGACTCGGAATTATCAAATTCTCAAATCGACTCGGCAGTTGGGTGACCCACCTACCGGTTTTGTGTGTGTAGTAGTCCTCAGAACCCTGGTAGTAGCCAAAGTAGGAGTCGAACCCTCGGTATGTCGGCGTGCAGTTCCAGTTGCAGAAACCAAGGTGCCACCTACATGCAGGCAAAGACAGCAATGTTACAGTATATTATATATATCCCGGCAGCTGTCAAAGTCATGTGGTTAACAGTTGATGCATTATCACTGATTATCACATTTATTTTCCATTGTTGACTATATTTAACTGTAATGCATATTTCGATGGTCCCGATCAAAGTGTTCGTAAGTATTTCACAGTCGTATATCTGTTAATGTATAGAGTTACGATATTTGTATGTCTGGCAAAGTTTAGAGTATCCATACTCGTTAGTCTTCAACAAGCGTATGCGTGTTGAAGTATAAAGTTACTATAGTCGTACATCTTCGACATTCGTATGACTGTTAAAGTAGAGAGTTACAATAGTTGTAGGTCTTCGACATTCGTATGACTGTTAGAGTATAGAGTTACAATAGTTGTAGGTCTTCGACACTCGTATGACTGTTAAAGTATAGAGTTACAATAGTTGTAGGTCTTCGACACTCGTATGACTGTTAAAGTATAGAGTTACAATAGTTGTAGGTCTTCGACATTCGTATGACTGTTAGAGTATAGAGTTACAATAGTTGTAGGTCTTCGACATTCGTATGACTGTTAAAGTAGAGAGTTACAATAGTTGTAGGTCTTCGACACTCGTATGATTGTTAAAGTAGAGAGTTACAATAGTTGTAGGTCTTCGACATTCGTATGATTGTTAAAGTAAAGAGTAAAGATTGTCGTAGCTCTTCGAAAGTTTTTGGTGTTGGAGCTTTGTGTTTGGCCGGCCTCGGAATTAGTGAACTGTCATGTTGGTGATGAGTCTATGCTTGAAAACATCCGTTTCTATGGTTACATGTCCATGAGCCTGACTGTGCGAAGTTTCCGATGAAATACCGGACTTTGCAAACTAGACAAATCGCTACGTACTTCCCAATAGCGTGGGTGGAATATCCAAGGTTCTTCAGGTACTGGGGCAGGAAGGTGAAGTTGAGAGGGACGCACACTGGCTGAGAGAACCCAATCACATAATGCTGAAATAAATCAAAAGTGTCGTTTATATATTTTAATAACCATACGTCCCCAAAGCACGATGAAGCGAATTAAATGCCGCTGTTGGCAATATTCATTCATATGGTTAGTGGGGGTGGAGGGTGGGTGTATGGGGTGAGGGGAGGGGTTTGTGGGCACTATATATTGGCTTCATACATTGTACCCATGAGTAAAGGATTCGGACACGGGTCCCCGACGTAACGAGTCCACGCTTTAAACACTAGGCAACTCATATGCCAACGATTAGTAACACAAAACATTTCTTAGTCGTTTCAGTCGTCTTGCTTATGGTTATCGTGGAGAAAAAATTCGGCCCCGACATAGTTCCTAATTACGAACAGTTCTTACCTGTAATCAGCTGTAACTATCATTCATTTACCTGCACTTAGCAGTGCCTATGATTTATAATCGGAAATAACTTTTGAAAACCATCAGCACCTACCTTTAATCCGAGTATTTTCCTCATATCAGTACCTACCTGTAATCACCAATCGTTATCTGTGCTTAGTGGTCCTTACCTGTGTTCCGGCCTTGAAAGGGTAAATTCCTGTCATAAAAGCGGTTCTCGAGCTGCATGAAAGAGAATATAATTAGACGAATGAATCAGGAGGTAGTAACATATTGAGGCTTAACATCTCAGTACTTTAGGGTTTGCATACACCACGTGCGTCCCCTATCTCCGTGAATACATACGGCCGCTCTGCGTTGTTACAGCGATGTGTGTCTAAGTAAGCTTATGAAATGAGGCAATTTATAACTCACTGAGGTCAAAGGATCCCTGCTCCGTGCTTGAACCTTGTGTGAACCCTACCCTTGACAGACATTATGGTAGTATTTGTTTGTTTGCTTGGTTGTTGTTTAACGCCGCACTCAGCAATATTCAAGCTATATGACGGCGGTCTGTACATAATCGACAATACAGTGATTGATATCATGAGCATCGATCGACCTTACTGAGATTCGATGACATGCATCAACCAATTCAGCGAGCCTGACCACCCGATCCTAGTAGTCGCCTCTTACATGGTTGCTGAAGACCTTTCTTACCCGCATCTTCACGGATGCGTCGAACCACGTGCTCAAGTCAACGTAGTCCCCGCTAGTGACAAACATCCTTACAAGACACAGTTAATTATTTTCTATACAAGTTGACATAGACAGAATGCAATGGACACAATAGAACGTGCCGTTACTTACGGGCTGCACACAGGCTGGACATAGGAATGGTTGAAGATGACCCCGCTGTCTGCCAGGGCGTCGATGTTGGGGGTGATCATGCTGGGGTTGTGGAAGCCCACGTCGTTCCACCCTTCATGGGAAACACCAATACATGCATGGCGACTTCTACAGTTTGTTAAGGCTGTTCTTTGACGGGAAATGATACTGTGTATCACAAGAAGCAGACTTCTCTAACAGCTCGATAGCATACCAAATAATGATACTGTGAATCACAAGAAGCAGACTTCTCTAACAGCTCGATAGCATACCCAATAATGATACTGTGAATCACAAGAAGCAGACTTCTCTAACAGCTCGATAGCATACCCAATAATGATACTGTGAATCACAAGAAGCAGACTTCTCTAACAGCTCGATAGTATACCCGATAATGATACTGTGTATCACAAGAAGCAGACTTTTCTAACAGCTCGATAGCATACCCGATAATGATACTGTGAATCACAAGAAGCAGACTTCTCTAACAGCTCGATAGCATACCCAAAAATGATACTGTGTATCACAAGAAGCAGACTTCTCTTTCAAATAGCTAGATAACATACCCAATAATAATAACAGCTTATGATGCAGTCCCAAGGAAATCTATCGTTCATTCTATTACTATAGTTTGTCTGTCGCATTAATAGGCTTTTTCTGTTAAGTTAAACACTTTCCTTATTTGATGAAGATGAGGATGAGGAAGCGATGTGATATCGGCGTATTGTGCAGAACCTGCCGCCACTTATTAATAAACTGAGATAACAGCTGGTCCCACAATACAGGTCATACACTCGGCCATGTAAAGGTACGTTATGCTTCAGCTATGTCTACTCCCACTACAGGATAGCCATGGGCGGACAGCGTATATATGTGACTAAATCGCTACTGGTAAAAGCAAGAATTCATTCTCTAAAGCATTGACATATTATTGGTCATCACAGTGGACGCGGGTATGTACAAAGTTGTTCACATGTGGCAATAGCGCCACACATCTGTGATATTAATAATTCTCAAACATATTTCCCTTGTGCTCTCAATCAGCGTCACGCATCCGTCAACAAACACAATCATTGAAAATACTCAATCTGGCCGTCAACGTTTCTTAACTGGCCCGGAACGAGAATACGTATTTATATTCACGTGACTGGACCGCCCCTCAGATCTCTAAAGCGATGGCTTTGTAAGCTTTAGCGCCTGGATATCATAAGTTAATGTACATTTCCTCAGAACGTGTGCTTACCTAAGTCATCAGCCACTATGAGAATGATATTAGGTTGACTTGCGCTGGTACTGCCTCCGACAAACACGCACAGCAACACAACCCCCAGCGAGGCTGTTGACTCCATCGTAGCTCGAGTGTTGTGTACTGTTTGTCAATCGACCTGTCCGGTTTTGTTAAACCCAGTAAGGGCCGAGCGACGTCTGATACCAGCCCTGAATGACGTATTACGAAATCTCGAAAGGCGTAAACAATACACTGCGATGCGAGGCAGTTTCCTCACGGGTGTTGTGATTGGGTCGGTGGGGTGTTTACAACGTCTGTGTCGTTTGTGGCATTTTACAGATAGAAGAAGATAGTCAGTTATTATTTTTTGTTAAAGTATTGAAATAAATAAATAAATAAATAAGTTCGACGAACTTACACTTCACTTCAGACGGTGGTGACGTGTTGAACATAGCATTGTAGGGCTGCCATGCACGGCGGTCCATTAGTCGAGCGATGTAGTGGAAACTATCAACTTGAATTAATGATCACGTACACAACGAATATAATTTGTTTGATAGAATCTATTAGAAGTTGTCAAAAACTTCTTTATTATACCGTAATATCTACGTATCGGTATAGAACCACATACCGTTGCCAAGCAAGACTGGATAGTGAGAATAGTGAACATGGTTACAAATGTACAAATATATATATATAGAACGACATACCGTTGCCAGGCGAGACTGGATAGTGAGAATAGTGAACATGGTTACAAATGTACAAATATATATATAGAACGACATACCGTTGCCAGGCGAGACTGGATAGTGAGAATAGTGAACATGGTTAGAAACGAACAAATATATATATATATATATATATATATATATATATATATATATATATATATATATATAGAACGACATACCGTCATATATATATATATATATATATATATATATATATATATATATATATATATATATACGGACAGCTCCGTATTTTTCCCGCTCTGATTTCGTTCCGACGATGTATCATTAAATGTTTTCTTATTTTAATTTTCCTCGCTGCTGTGAATAACTATTACCACATCTTATAAAAAAGACTCCTTCATCTTCAAGGTCAGCTTCATCGTTCTTCAGCTGTATTTAGTAACAATTCGTTTCCAAAGCAAAGCGACTCGATCTATGTCATAACTTGATTACTACAAGTTTGACAGTTTTTGGATGAGCTGTGGAAGAACAATAGGGTTAACTGTTTTGCTCAAAATTGATTATGAATCATCTGCCCTTCGTCCCGCGACCTATGAGTCTGGATTTTCTTTTGCACTTGTCCTCCTAAGTTTACATACCAGTGCTTTTTTGGACAAAATGAAGAAGGACTCTTGGCTTACAGTTGACACAAATATAATAATTGCGGAATAAATATAAGGATAATGATAATAATAAGATTTTATTGAACAATTACATTTTGGCGTGGAGCTTAAATTCAAAAATAAAAAAGCATGCATACACTGGAACTGATACGGATGTACTGTCCCGAAGAGTCACTCATGGAAGTCGCTGTGCAGAGTTGCGTCCCTTTGGCACGCCAGAAACCTATGATGGTGGGTTCGAATCCTGGCTCGCCCCGATTATGTTTCAAGGTTTGTCAGCATCATACTCGTGCTCGTGGGTTTCAACGAAGTGGTAAATGTCTGAGACCTGCTTCACTTCGGGCTTTCCTCCCACATTAAGCTGACACGCCGTGATATAACTGTAATACTGTTCAAAGCGGCGTTAAACCCAACTCACTCACTCACTCATCCATCATCGTCGCCCCAGGCAATATCCATCGTCAAGACAACACACAGCACGCCTAGTTCAGCAGTTCCTCCAACAGGTCGATCTTCCCTGGTCAGCAAAAATAATTCACCGGACATTTCACCGAATGAACAAGTCTGGGACGAAACGGACTGTCGACTTGGACGCCAACCAAATCCGCCTGCAACGCTTCTGGAACTGCAGACAGAGCTTATCAGAATCTGGGATGACATCTTGAAATTTGTTTATGCCAGACTCGTGTCATCCATGTGGCGTCGATGCAGCTGTTCTTATTTTTATTCATTGTTTTCATGAAACAGTATGCATCCCTACTATGATAGCATTATGGTTACTGTGGTGTTGTACCCGTGGGAAGTTCGGGTTAGAAATGGTCCCCACCAGCATTTGCTGGTCGTAAATAAAGGCTACCAAGTGGTTCATCGCTAATTCCAAGGTTTAATAACCAATTCTTAATAAATAAATTGAAAGTGAAATGAGTTTCACACATTATACCCATGTGGGGAGTCGAACTCCGGCCTTCGGTATGACGAGTGAACACTTTAACCAGTAAGCTATGCTACCGCCCCGTCACCATTGTATACTGGCACATACATGTAGATCTGCTCCAGTAGTATGTATGTACTGGCAAACCACAATTAACTCCTAAGGAGATGGACTCTTTTCAATAAATCATTGCTTAACCAAAGATGAAGGCATTGTATTTTCGAACTCATTTATTTCCTCCTCGACGACTCATATTAACATTGATCAAACAGGCCTGCATATTTACAATAAACAGACTAAGTCATCAATAGATGTTTATTTACATTTGAAAGATGTCAGTCTCTGATTAATCTCATTAAAATAAGGACATCCCATCACAAGTCCAATGTCCTTTCATGCTACCTTGAACGGTAAACATGGAGCATTCCGAAGGACAGGTACGGCCTGAACCATTCGTCACCACTCGCCCCTTTCCTTAACCTGCAAGAAAATTCGTCCCCCTATCGATGAATGTTATGTGTGAAAATACGACAAACCATTCAGAATGCGCGTATGATTTCAAGTTCAACAATCCCTCAGAAATAATTTTTGATTTAACATATGTCTTGCATCTAAAAATATACCTAAGACACAGTTAAATGTGTTCAAGCATACTGTATAATTCCGAATGTCTCGATGTGCTTTAAATTGCATCTGAAATATATATATATATAGTTCATTGGAAATATATTTGAACCATTACGCAACGAGTAGACAATTGTTTTAGGTTAGCCCGTTTGCGCTAAGACGGAATCCGGTCGCAAAAATCGCCATGAGAGGGGCACGAGTCGCTATTCGGCTTGTCCCGGAATAACACGAGTTGGTCACGAATGCAAGTCTATCTCTCGCTTCAATGGATAAACATTTCAAACGGAAAGCCCGTATTGCCACACAATCTTAGCCACTTCTCAGTGATTCCAGAATTTTCGTTTGTTCAGTTTGCAAATTTTGAATCGAGAAATAATTTTCAAAGCGTAATCTGGAATTGAAGTCGCAAATATTAAACTAGAACCGTTAAGCTCGAGAAAGTTGCTTTCTGATTGGCTAATGTCGACTTCGAGATGATCATTGGTCGGTCAAAGTTCGCGAAAGGTGGTTCTGAGTGACCTGTCATGGGACGCCCCCTGATCTTTGTTTAGCGGTTGTGAGCACTAAGATTTGATTTCAATGCGATAAGTCTGTGCTCCGTGAAGCCGCCATCGTCTAAAGATTGCCAGCAATGGCGTAGATGGCGTCCCAGATTTCTTTACTGCAAGGTGCGATCTGAGCTGCGGGGAGGACGAACCCCTCAAGGCCACCACTGCTAGGTCGGAGTTCAAAGGTGATAGCGTAGGGGATATCCTCCGTCTGGCGTGCCCAGTCACGTGAACCACCATGTATGACGCCTGAAGGAGATATGTTACATACAATATACTGTGAGACCTGGGTAGTGAGTGCAGACCCGTTTATCCAGTCTGCTTGGAACGCTTACAAATATACGATACATGACTGAGTACTTTACGCGAGGATCTACTGTCCGGATTAACGGGGTTCTATTGTACCGTATGGCCCGTGAAGATCCGGGGTAGAATAGTTCTTCAACAACCCATGCATGTCATCGATCCCAATTGCGTGGATTGATGCTCATTTTGTCAATCACTGGATTGTCTGGTCCAGACTCGATTATTTACAGACAGCCTTCATATAGCTTGAATATTGCTGAGTGCGGCGTTAAACAAAAAACAAACAAACAAATTATGGTACTGTAGATGTAAGAAAGCAATTTTCGAAACAAGCATTACGAAAAAAGCATTTGTGTTTAAGATATATATCAGGTAGAAGGGTATCAGTGTATTATTGGAACACTATGGACACTTTTACCAGAATGCAGGTTGGTTCAAATGGGGTTTAACGCCGTCTACAATGTCATTTCACTTACATGGATACAGCGACGTGGATGCACGTGTGGGTGTGGGTGTTTGTTCTAAAGCCGGTTATATAGTTGTAGCCCACCGAGATACCATGGCGCAGTTTAACAAGAATACTCCACTCAGACACATTGTACAGACTCCGAGTCGACCAGTCCTTGTGTAAGCCCCTTAATGCCGAACACCAGACAGGGTAACAACAAGTATCACCGTTTAACATATTTTAAAATAAAATCGGCCGGGGATCGAACAACCAACCTTCCAACAGACGCTCTTAACACTACCCCAGGGGGGCATTCCTACGGTATGTGAGTGAGTGTGGTTTTACGCCGCTGTTACAAATATTCCAGCAATATCTCGGCTTCGCACATTGTACCCATGTCGGTAATCGAACCCAGGTCTTCGGCGTGACGAGCGAACGCTTTTATCTCTGCAGTATGTGAGAGTGTCTGAACTGTTTAATGCCGCTTTTTAAAATTATTCTTGTTATATTATGGCGTGTCCGCTTGATGTGATAGGAAAGCCCGAAGTGACGTTTACCACTTCGGTGAAACCCATGGTATCTACAAACCTAGAAACATATTCGCGGCGAACCGGTATTCGAATCCACCATCACTAGTTACTGGCGTGCCAAAGGGAGGCAACTGACAGTATGAAATAAGGTGAGCATATCAAGGGTTACGGAAAATTGATTGACGCATATACACAAGAGTTGTATGAGGAATGTACTGGCATATCACAGTTCCATTTGTGATGATAAAAACACAACAGATACTGTCGCTGAGAGTTTGAATATATAGCCATTTTTACTCACTTAAAATATCAGCCGAGGATCCAACCCGATAGGTTCTTCCATCAGAAGCAAATATAGCATCCTTGGCCAAATTTGATGTCTCTACCTGATGTAGAAAGCAAACATGAACAGTAGGAAGTATTGAGTGAGTGCGTGTGAGTGAGTTGGGTTTAACGCCGCTTTTAACAGTATTGCAGTAATATCACGGCGTATCAGCTTAATGTGGGAGGAAAGCCCGAAGTGATGCAGGTCTCAGACGTGTATCACTTCGGTGAAACCCACGAGCACGGGTATGGTGCTGACAAACCTAGAAACATAATCTGGGCGTACCGGCATTCGAACCCACAATCATAGGTTTCTGGTGTGTCCAAGGGACGCAACTCTGCACATCGAATCGCGGCGCCTTGGACGACTGGCCCACCCTGGCCCCAACAGTCTGAAGTAAGAAAAAAACATGTAACGACGAAGAAAATACATGGAGAACGTTGTGCATAATAGTTTCGTCGGGACGGCCAATGGAAGTAAATGACAGAAGATAGAAATGCGTTGTTGTTGGTTGAGGTTTGCACCCTAGACTATAGCTACTTGCTGTACATGTGTTCTTTCTGTCAAGCAAGCACTCGCAAAAAGGCATACCTAACAACGTCACCAACGTTATCTGCCTGTCAAGAAGCTACTGCAGGTAAGATATCTCACAACAATCACAAGTATTTGTGATACGGTTTTGTTTGGATGTCAATGAGTCAATCTTCAGTCATGTCAAATAAGCTCCGAATCATCATACACTGCATGCGTAAACGTTCTGCTCGCATAAGCAAAATGAAAAGAAACAACAGCGGTCAACTAGCCAATTCCCTTCCACTGATTTACCCGCCTGAGCCAGAAATAGAAGAGACCAGTGATACCGCCTCTGTTGAGTGTTAAGATCTATCATGCATAAACATGTGATGGCAACATGCTATCCGCTCAAGAAGCTTTCATTTCTTGCGGCCCCTGCCTTCGTATCTGCTCTAACTCTACAATTGAGCATGCACTTTCAACGAAGATTTCAAAGAGCATCAAGCGACTCTTGCTAAAAAGTTGATTGATCAAGGTTGTTACATCCAGGGCCCTTGTAAATCTTTCAAACATTGTTATTGTAGATATCTTTAGGACACTTGAAAATGTGACGCACTTGCCAAAGTCTGCTTTTTAATTCTTAATCTTAGAAAACATCTTTTATAAGGATAACTTTTTACTATATCATCTTTATATCATTTATATGTAAATTCTGTGACAATTTGTCTCTCATAATTCTATTGAATGGTTATGTACATTCTATCTATGTCAAGTTGTACAAAGCTGTTTTATGTATAAACAGAAGTGAGACGTTAATAAACTATTGTCTGTCTGTCTGTCTGTCTGTGTTTTCTCAGGTGAACAATTGCCTTTCCTTTGCATGTGTGTGTGATGAATCCCACTCATGGGGTGGGATACGCTCCCATTTTCAAGAAATTTGGTATAATCACTATTTGAGTTTCATAACACAAGCTTATGCTGTAATCGGAATCGTACAATGGACTCAGCAGGCAGAGGTTTCTTATAATTATGCAAATGGTTTTGTCGCTTTAGTCTACACGTGAATTTTGTTCCTGTATGTATTTCTGACATGTTAGGATTGATTGCCTTTACCTGGTTTAGGTCTATCAATAATAAAGAAGAAGAAAAGCAATGCCGTTCTCACTATGTGGTCGTTATTAGGTGGGTACGTGTTCTGGGCGAATCCATATGGCGTAAGGATGAGCTGCGAGAAGGAGTGAATGGAGAGGTAGGCGCTGATTGGTCCACGCTCATTCTGAATGTCCTGGACCTTGTCCCGAAGATTCTGTGTCTCTATCTCCGAGAACACTGACGGCCCCCTGAAGCTATCTGACGAGCACGACCCGCTCGACCCTGACCCTGAAACAGGATTGAAGCAAGGCTGAGTTAATCCTCTTTGTCTTAACAGTATTCACAGGATGAACGAGGATCATGGTGACTGGACACGGTGACGTATTGACGATAATTATAAGGTAATTGCGCTTGTTTTGAGAGTTGTCATTAAAGTTGTGTCGGATATTTACCCCTGGTACGACGTAAATTGTAATAACGCGGTACAATGAAACAAACTGCGGTAAAATTTATATTGCGGTAAATTGTAATAAGTGCACTGCGGTAAATTGGAACAAAAACTGCAGCAAATTGTAATAACATAAACTGCGGTAAATTTGAATAAACACTATGGTAAATTGTAATAAAATATGATTCATTTGCTACTATACAAGGAAACATAAATGAAGTTACGTATTACATTTTACCGCAGTGTTATTACATTTTACCGCAGTGTTATTACATTTGACCGCAGTGTTATTATATTTGACCGCAGTGTTATTATATTTTACCGCAGTGTTATTACATTTTACCGCAGTGTTATTACATTTTACCGCAGTGTTATTATATTTTACCGCAGTGTTATTACATTTTACCGCAGTGTTATTACATTTTACCGCAGTGTTATTATATTTTACCGCAGTATTACAATTTACGCCGTAACAAACCGGCTATTTTTTTAAATCTTGACTTGCATTACATGATCAGGATCGGAGTGAAACAACAAGTGAAAATAGCACATCAATGTCTACCTAACCTCCCCACATGGAGTCAAAGTTCCGGTTCAGATCAACCCCACGGCTACTGCCACACCCGGATATGATGCTCCGGTTCTTTCTCCAGTAGCGGTACTGTCGACAGGAATAACTTAACTTATTCGTGTGAAAGTTCATCTGGAGTATCAGCTTCCATTCCAAGTTTTAGTAACATCAGTACATTTGCCATAAGTACTTCAGATTTTCGACTTTCGGTAGCTGTCTTCTGAAAGCCCAAACTGTTTTTTTATATGTTTTAAATATTCCTCATTCAGTGCCTCTATATAACTCTAAAGGAACGAAAACGGACGATTGTTTCAACGTTAAGAGAATATATCTGTGAACAAGTCCAGGATGGCTGTTATAGCCGATAGTTGTCCTTGGGGCATGGATGGCAAGTTGTCCTTGGCGCTGCAATTCCTCATGCACAGTTGCGTCCCTTTGGCATGCACGAAACGTGATTATATTGTTTAATGGCAAAAATGATTGAGAACTCTATGGTAACACTCTGAGTGACAAATGTTCGCATTTCTTTCCGACTATTCACACATTCATTCTGACTTCGAACTCACAGTCCGGTTCGTGCAAGCTCTTACTATATCGGGGGGCACGGGTGGCCCAGCCGTCTAAGGCGCCACGATTCGCTGTGCAGAGTTGTGTCCCTTGGGCACGCCAAAAACCTATGATTGTGGGTTCGAATTCCGGTTCGCCCCGATTATGTTTCTAGGATGGCAGCACCATACCCGTGCTCGTGGGTTTCACCAAAGTGGTAAAGGTCTGAGACCTGCATCACTTTCGGGCTTTCCGCCCACATTAAGCTGACACGCCGTGATATAACTGGAATATTGTTAAAAGCGGCGTTAAACCCAACTTACTCACTCACTCGAATCCCCGGTTGTCTCCAACTCAATGAGCTAGAAATATGTTAAAAAACACCTACCCTAATAAGTCAAACTCGATTCACAGGTGTATATACATACATGTATACATGTTTATAATTCCTATGTTATGATATTTTACATTAAATACACAACTTGTCTGTGTTTTCTGTTGTCTAATGGTCAGGTCCGACAGTCATAACATCGAGTTGGATGTGTCGATCTCCGGATAAGTCGAACTATTCCCTGAGTTCAAGACAACGGGATTCGATAGTATAATGTAGACAAAGAATTCCTTCCATGAGCAATAAACTGTCTGCGACTAAACCTGTCATTAGAAGTGATACACGTACGAGCATAATTTGACCCGCATCCTATGTACTCAGGGGCGGTAGGGTAGCCTAGTGGTTAAAGCCTTCGCTCGTCACGCTGAAGACCCGGGTTCGATTCCCGACATGGGTACAATGTGTGAAGCCCATTTCTGGTGTCCCCCGCCGTGATATTGCTGGAATATTGCTAACAGCGGCGTTAAACCATACACACTCACTTACTATGTACTCACGGACGTGTGACTGTATTCATAGCCATCTGGGTTAGTCACGGGAACAATGTACCATTCGAAGTTGTTGTACAGGAAGCTTGCGTCTGCATCCAAGTCTCGCCTGTGCAGCATCTTCAGTTGAACACATGTATAAAGGTTATCACGCGAGTGTGTTTTGGGATGGTCAATATCCTGTATCATTAGGCATTGTAATTAGCAATCCGTTGTGGATAGATTGCCTGTGGTACACTAGGGTAGAACGTGTTCCCTGAACTAATGATACTTATAGCTAAAATGGATAGAATTATCATTAAACCGCCCGCATGTTATCAGAAATGATCGGGCCATTGTAACTTGATAATGCCCTCATATTGCTTGACAGCGGACCATTATCACGCCCGTTGTTAGGTGACGTGATAGGGATAGGTGACGTCACGTTCATAGTGACGTCATCTGGTTTGTTCTGTGACGTTTCCATATTTGTAAAGGTTTGTCAGGGAGATTCGTGTTGTGGTAGTAAATGTTTCAAAACCGATATTTTTTTCTAATAACTTGATAACAAATTCCATCCATTTTAGCGATAATAATGGTAACCCTATTTTTCAGGGCATTATCATTTGCAGAAGCCAGAAGTCTTCCAAAAACTGACCGTCGAAGGAGGAGGCTTCTGCAAATGATAATGCCCTGAAAAATAGCGTTACCCTTATATTATTGATTGCCATCTGTGCGCTATTGTCATGTATATCATAATAACTGCTGTTACAGAGCAAGTCTCCGGTATTTTGCCACGTTTGCCACGTTACTGTTCGATTCATTTCTCGTGATCAAATATACATTTTGGGTAAATCATTCACTGCAGGTTATGAATGTGACCATTGTATGAACTTATCACTGATTATGATAGACCGCCTCCGTGGTCTAATGATAGAGCATCTGACCGGACAACTGAGATCGGGGGTTCGACGAAAAGACGTTTAAAGATGACACTTGTTGTTACCCTGCCTGGCGTTCGGCATTAAGGGGCTAAAAGAAACACTGGTCAGCTCGGAGTCAGTATACTGTGTCTGAATGGGGTATTCATGTTTAACTGTGGCATGGTATCTCAATGGGCCAACACTATAAAATCGGCATTAGTCCTGACAAGTACATACAGCCGCTATATAATTTCGGTAATCTTGAAAGCGACGTTAAACCCGTATTTCACCCAATCACTTTTTTATTTGGAGTAGGATATCTTAAGAAGTTACACAAGCATGTTGAGGTTACGGTGCTAAGCAACACATACCATTGTGCATTGGGTCGATGGAATAGCCTAGTGGTTGAAGCTCGTCACGCCGAAGACCCGGATTCGATTCCCAACATGGGTGCAATGTGTGAAGCCCATTTCTTGTGTCCCCCACCATGCTATTGCAGGGATATTGCTAAAAGCGGTGTAAAACCCAACTTACTCACTGTGCATGGCTGCACCTACCCTGTCGATGAAATACATGGCCGATGCCGGGGAGACCCACTCCCGGGCATGTATCCCAGCTTCTATGAAGATCCGCTTCTTGTTGCTACTGGATCCACCTGTAATCTGGAGAGAGTCAGCAAGTTTTACGACAATGTCTAAAAAATATAGTGACGAGAGCAGGTAATAGATTCATTAATTGCATGTACAGTAAAACATGCAAATCCAACAACTCATACAGACTGAAACATATCTAGAAAACGACAGAAAACATGTAATTCGTATATACATTCACAACTTATGATGCAGACCAGTTTCGCTTTCCAAGAAATTCATATTCAGGTAAAAACTGGCCCTAGAGGACTCGCCGCCTATGTTTCCTGAACCAATGATGAACCAGTGCGACTTACCTAATTCGTATGGAATGGCATTTGGATACAACCAGCAATTACAGAATGACAAGGACGGACCTCAACACAAATACTGGTATAAGTGCAGTTACCTCGATATAGGGCGTGTCTCTCCCTTCATAGGTGCTTCGTGCGAGGTATCCTTTAGTGACGCCGCTGAAGGTGGCGAAGTTACTCATGTAGGCATCAAGCTAAAGTACAAAGAAATTACAATAAACTCTCTCTCTCTCTCCGCCCCTCTCTCTCTCTCTGAAATGCATAGTAACATAATGGTCCATCTCTGTGTGTACTACATATAAATATATTTTATATTATTCACTCCACTCTCTCTCTCTCTCTCTCTCTCTCTCTCTCTCTCTCTCTCTCTCTCACACACACACACACACACACACACACACACACACACACACACTTCGGGCTTTCCTGCAACATTAACCTGACATGCCTTAATATAACTGAAATATTGTTCACAGCGGCCATAAACCCAAGACACTGACTCACCGACACACTCCAGACACACTTACGTTAGCCAGTCTGTAATAAGCATTGTGACGTACGACACCTTCAATGAAATCTTTATACAATGCCGGATCCTCGCTGGGCATTGAATAAGTGTCATCATTCAACCTAAAACAGTAGAATCGTTAATGAATTATGAACACGCATCATTAAGTAAACACACGCAAGTGTACGTGAGCTTAAAGCAAATAACGACTGGGGCTGTGAAGAAAGGGCTTTGTATGTTGCACTCGAGTGGGGAATCCTGTTCGTTGGCGTAAAAGTAATCGCTCTAATTACGAGACTACACCTCCGCCTAATTGGAAAATAAGAGTTGATGCTTCGTTTTCAAACCAAGCCGTGCACCTAGCTTGAACATACCATACGTCATTGAACATAATAGAGTCTGCACCAGACAAGCCAGCGAGTGACATCATGAGCATCGATCTTGGCAATCGGGATACGATGACGTGAATCAACCAAGTCAGAAAGCCTGACCACCTGATCCTGTTAGTCGCCTCTTACAACAAGCTTGGGTTGCTGAAGACCTTTTCTAACCCGGATCTTCACGAGGGAATTGATATTTTGAGGATCGATCAAATACCGCGTCACACCAAAAGACATTAAAATATGGCGTGTGGCATTGAGGGAATGAAACAAGGACTGGTCGGCTGAGAGTCAGTATACTGCGTCTGCGCGGTATTCATGTTAAACTGCGGCATGGTATCTTAGTGGGCTAGCACTATAACACCTGCATCAGTGCGGACCAGTGCTATATAAGTGCAATAATCTTGGACGCGATGTGAAACCCCATTTTACCTCGCCTCACCTATGATGGAAGAATTATTAAAGGAAACACTGACTGCTTGATGTTGTGGTGTCTTATCTTGCTGCTGATGCCGGCAGTGTTCATCAGTGTCATGAAGAGGTCGATACTTTCAGGCGGAACCCGCAGGCGCCCTGTTCGCGTCAAGGTGGGGACCAGCCACATGTCAAGCTGAAAACGTTTGCACAAATACGGAATGAGTGAGTTGAATTTAACGTCACTTTATTCAACAAGTTTACTGTAACGTCCCCATCAATATGGTGAATGATATATAAAAGAAAAAAAAGAAAACTTAATATTAGCGATAAGATCAGATTCATGAGTATACCCAGAGTGACAACAGGACCAGAGTGAACTGACTAATTAATATGTGTCTCTCAAACATCCACAATCAGCAATATGTTCTAGCTATATATTTCAAATATAAAACGTCAATGACATCCTTGATTGTCTGTCAAAACTGACACCATTTGGCGTAAAAGACAAAATAGCGATGAAAGTAATACGAATGGACCACTGAAAATCAATGATGACAGCAGGTGCTCGCGAAAATGGCAAGCACGGTAGAACCCGCCACTCACTTAATAAAATAAGCATATGTTTGTTGCCCACCGTCGCACCAAGAAATAGCTCAGTCATACAAAGGCAGGATGCAAACAATCGAATCTGGACCAGACAATCCAGTGAAAGTGAGTATGGATCAGACAATCCAGTGACACGATAGCGCGTTTACTGGTTGTGACAGGTTATACTTACTGATTGTGGTAATGGAAGCATGTAAACGAAATGACAGGCGTAAGAATGAACTCACCCCCATGTTTCCGACGTCGTCCATATCAATGACATATTGCTGTTGTTCCTCTGTTGTGATGTTGACGTCAACGAGCCGATGGCTGGGAATGTGGGAGAATTCAACACCCTTTTAACAATGTGCTATTTACATCACATGTGTAAATAGATTAAATTGACCCAACATCCATTTGTCGGTGTTTTCCACTTGGTGCTGACAAACACATCAAGGATAACTATCGCGGATTCGACCCTACAGTGACGCCTGGTTACTAAGGGAGGTAGCTCTGGACAGTGGGGTTCTGCGGCTCAGATCATTGGTAGTCTAACCAACACTGTCACTTTGTGTCCTGGGGACCTATTCTAACCACCACTGTCACAAAGTGTTCTGGGGACCAATTCTGATCACCACTGTCACATTGTGTACTGGGGACCTTTTTTTACCATCACTGTCACTTTGTGTACTGGGGACCTATTCTAACCACCACTGTCACATTGTGTCCTGGGGACCTTTTTTTACCACCACTGTCACTTTGTGTACTGGGGACCTATTCTTACCACCACTGTCACATTGTGTACGGGGGACCAATTCTAACCACAACTGTCACAAAATGCACTGGGGACCTATTCTAACCACCAATGTCACATTGTGTACTGGGGACCTATTCTTACCACCACTGTCACAAAGTGTACTGGGGACCTATTCTAACCACCACTGTCACAAAGTGTACTGGGGATCTATTCCAACCACCACTGTCACAAAGTGTCCTGGGGACCTATTCTAACCACCACTGTCACAAAGTGTAATGGGGACCTTTTCTAACCACCACTGTCACACACTATCCTTAACATTATCTGTTAAATACTGAGGTTAGAGTCTCGTATGGTGCAATGAATACATTAAAGCCAATTCAATTATTGACGTGCAAAGTAGCATGTATGAAACAATTACTGTCAGATTTTCTTCACAAGATTAATACGTTTCGTTCATTTCAAACATGGAAAGCCCCATCTATAGCGAGCGAAAAGTTTCATAAATACTTCTCACTTCATGTGTTGTTGGGACGGTCACATCAGGACCCCCAATGTCATGCCAGGGACAGTCACCTTAAGACCCCAAATGTCATGCCAGTGACTGTCACCTTAGGCCCCCCAATGCCATGCCAAGGACTGTCACCTTAGGCCCCCCAATGCCATGCTAGAGACTGTCACCTTAGGACGCCCAATGCCATGCCAGGGACTGTCACCTTAGGACCCCCAATGCCATGCCAGGGACTGTCACCTTAGGAACCCCAATGTCATGCCAGGGACTGTCACCTTAGGACCCCTAATGCCATGCCAGGGACTGTCACCTTAGGACCCCAAATGTCATGCCAGGGACTGTCACCTTAGGACCCCCAATGCCATGCCAGGGACTGTCACCTTAGGAACCCCAATGTCATGCCAGGGACTGTCACCTTAGGACCCCCAATGCCATGCTAGGGACTGTCACCTTAGGACCCCCAATGCCATGCCAGGGACTGTCACCTTAGGACCCCAAATGTCATGCCAGGGACTGTCACCTTAGGACCCCCAATGCCATGCCAAGGACTTTCACCTTAGGACCCCCAATGTCATGCCAGGGACTGTCACCTTAGGACCCCCAATGCCTTGCTAGGGACTGTCACCTTAGGACCCCCAATGTCATGCCAGGGACTGTCACCTTAGGACCCCAAATGTCATGGCAGGAACTGTCACCTTTGGACCCCCAATGTCATGCCAGGGACTGTCACCTTAGTACCCCCAATGTCATGCCAAGGACTGTCACCTTAGGAACCCCAATGCCATGGCAGGGACTGTCAACTTAGGACCCCCAATGTCATGGCATGGACTGTCACCTTAAAACCCCCATTGTCATGGCAGGGACTGTCACCTTAGGACTCAAGTGTTATGACAGAGACTGTCAACTTAGGACCCCCAATGTCATGGCAGGGACTGTCAACATAGGACCCCCAATGTCATGGCAGGGACTTTCACTTTAGGACCCCAGTGTCATGCCAGGGACTGTCACCTTAGGACCCCCAATGTCATTGCAGAGACTGTCACCTTAGGACCCCAGTGTCATCTTAGGGACTTTCACCTTAGGACCCCAGTGTCATCTCAGGGACTTTCACCTTAGGACCCCAGTGTCATACCAAGGACTTTCACCTTAGGACCCCGGTGTCATACTAGGTACTTTCACCTTAGGACCCCAGTGTCATAGCGGGTAGTTTCACCTTAGGACCCCCAATGTCATGCCAGGGACTTTTACCTTAGGACTCCAGTATCAGGTCAGGGACTGTCACTTTGGGACGCAGTGTCATGTCAGGGACTTTCCCCTTAGGACCCCACTATCATGTCAGGGACTGTCACCTTGGGACGAAGTGTCATGTCAAGGACTGTCGCCTAAGGACCCCAATGTCATGGCATGGACTGTCACCTTAAAACCCCCATTGTCATGGCAGGGACTGTCACCTTAGGACTCAAGTGTTATGACAGAGACTGTCAACTTAGGACCCCCAATGTCATGGCAGGGACTGTCAACATAGGACCCCCAATGTCATGGCAGGGACTGTCACCTTAAAACCCCGAATGTCATGGCAGGGACTGTCAACATAGGACCCCAAATGTCATGCCAGGGACTGTCACCTTAGGCTCCAGTGTCATGCCAAGGACTGTCACCTTAGGACCCCAATGTCATGCCAGGGACAGTCAACTTAGGACCCCCAATGTCATGGCAGGGACTGTCAACATAGGACCCCCAATGTCATGGCAGGGACTTTCACTTTAGGACCCCAGTGTCATGCCAGGGACTGTCACCTTAGGACCCCCAATGTCATTGCAGAGACTGTCACCTTAGGACCCCAGTGTCATCTTAGGGACTTTCACCTTAGGACCCCAGTGTCATCTCAGGGACTTTCACCTTAGGACCCCAGTGTCATACCAAGGACTTTCACCTTAGGACCCCGGTGTCATACTAGGTACTTTCACCTTAGGACCCCAGTGTCATAGCGGGTAGTTTCACCTTAGGACCCCCAATGTCATGCCAGGGACTTTTACCTTAGGACTCCAGTATCAGGTCAGGGACTGTCACTTTGGGACGCAGTGTCATGTCAGGGACTTTCCCCTTAGGACCCCACTATCATATCAGGGACTGTCACCTTGGGACGAAGTGTCATGTCAAGGACTGTCGCCTAAGGACCCCAGTATCATGTCAGGGACTGTCAGCTTAGGACCCCAGTGTCATGCCAGGGACTGTCAGCTTAGGACCCCAGTGTCATGCCAGGAATCCCAACAAATCATTCCTGAGAGTCACAGAGACTCACAAATAGAATCACCCATGGAAATCCATATCATTAACTCACATTAAAAAAGAACATAACAGCGGAATACATTACTTTAGGAAGGATTCCTGTCCCGTTCTGTCCAGACTCACAGCCTGTATTCCACATATCCCACCGAGGAGAACAACCAGCCACGGTACCAGCATCATGAGACTTCCCTGAAGCCACCCTCAGCACTTACGAGTACCTTTCTATTTTATAACCGACACCTTAACAGCTAGTTCGAAGGCTACCAATAAATCTGCCACTTGTCATAAAGATTGTATTTAAGGGTCATGCCATATTCGTGTGTAAATGACTAAATCTTGGCCAGACAAGCCAGTGGCTGATATCATGTGCAGTATCCTGCGTCGTTGGTGTCGCACAATCAACGACGTCATCCAACTATGTCGCTTGTTACAAGCAATATAATTCCAGATACCTATTCTTACCCGCGTCCCAATGTACCGACACGACAGAGTGAGTTTTTAACAGTATAACAGATATATCACGTCGTGTCAGCTTAATGTGGGAGGAAATCCCGAAGTAATGTAGGTCTCAGACGCTTACCACTTCGGCGAAACCCACGAGCACGTGTATGGTGGTGACAAACCTAGAAACATAATCGGGGCGAACCAGGGGGGCACGGGTGGCCTAGTCGTCTAAGGCGCCGCGATTCGCTGTGCAGAGTTGCGTCCCTTGGGCACGACAGAAACCTATAATTATGGGTTCGAATCCCGGTTCGGCCCGATTATGTTTCGACAAGTGATTGTTTCTCTGATCTAGTGCTGATTATTTCCTTGTCAATCTGAGAGTTTCCTCAAATCGCCTCAATTCCACAAGGGCATCCTCGTCTACCTCTTCCAAATAAATGGCGTCTTCATCAGCAGATCTACTAGAACACTTTCGTCTTTCCCACATGCCCGCATTGTCACCATCAGGTGTTTTAGTCGACTCCCCCTGTGACATCATCTAATACATCACGTCACTTGCAAAGGGTTTGTAATATTTCACAATTGATTATTTACAAACTGTTGTGATTTGCTGAAATCTTGCAGACTGCGATGTTCAGATACAGTAACTCCCTCACTCACTGTGCCTGCTGCTAGTTAAACAAACTGACGGGAATTTACAGCTGTGTTTGATGGTGGCTTAACATGAAACCAACAAGACAAGGTTATTCGATGGTGATGTATTTGATATGGGTATCAGCGTTGTGTTTCGGACCTCACCGTCACAGTAGTTCAGCCAAGTAACGTTTTGAGTGAGTGAGTGAGTTGGGTTTAACGCCGCTTATAACAGTATTCCAGTTATATCGCGGCGTGTCAGCTTAATGTGGGAGGAAAGCCCGAAGTGATGCAGGTCTCAGACGTTTACCACTTCGGTGAAACCCACGAGCACTGGTATGGTGCTGACAAACCTAGAAACATAATCGGGGCGAACCGGGATTCGAACCCATAATCATAGGTTTCTGGCGTGCCCAAGGGACGCAACTCTGCACAGCGAATCGCGGCGCCTTAGACGACTGGGCCACCCGTGCCCCCCAGTAACGTTTTGATAAGGTTTGCAAGATTTTGGTCAAATTCAATTTTCAAGTTGATACTTTCTTTTGCCCGGCAGTGTACAATGCATGGCCTAGATGCTGGACGCGCCCGTCTTAGACAATGTCGTGAGAAATGAATGGATTCCCTCCCTCGTAAACGCGTCATGGGAAGAAGAGTGTCTCTTCAGCCTTATCTTTGTTTGATTTCGTTGAAGTTTTATGTCACGATTCTTTTCCAGTGTCGAAAAGAGGTCAAATGTATATTATGGTACTTACAAATTTCCCCATCAAACAACAGTCAGCGAGTGAGGGGGAAACAGTCAAGTAATATTACGGTGGAGGATACAGGAATGGACATCGCAGATTGCACCAATGTGAGGAGTGAGTGAGTTGGGTTTAACGCCGCTTTTAACATTGTTCCAGTTATATCACGGCGTGTCAGCTTAATGTGGGAGGAAAGCCCGAAGTGATGCAGGTCTTAGACGTTTACCACTTCGGTGAAACCCACGAGCACGGGTATGGAGCTGACAAACCTAGAAAACATAATTGGGGCGAACCGGGATTCGAACCCACAATCATAGGTTTCTTGCGTGCCAAAGGGACGCAAACCAAGGCGAGGACCAGAACCTGTGCCTTCGACCTGACGAGCGAACACTTTAACTTGGAGGCTACACCAATATCACACAACATGTTTCTATTAGTGTCTGGTGGTACAGTGTTCTCAGGCGCAACAACTCGCTGAGATGAAGTGTTCCACGTTGCCCTGTCGTGATCTGCTGATCGTGGGTTCGAACCCACATCTGTCTTTATTATGATCCTTTGCCTGTCAGCACTGCGCTCCTGGGTTCCATTAATGTCAAACAACTTAACTACCTAATTTTGGGCTTACAGGCCGTGATATAACTGAAAAAGTGTCGATTGTGGCGTAAATACCAACGTATGACTAACTTATTCGTTTGTTTGTTGAACCAATTATTTTTGTCATGCGGGTCATTGGTGGCCCTGTCGTCTAAGGCGCCGCAATGCGCTGTGCAGCGTCCCTTGGATTCGCAAGAAACCTATTTCAGTCACTTACCTTGCTGAACACGCTGGAGAGTCTTGTTTGACCGTTGATCAACCAACTGACAGACCCAACAGCTCATGGACTAAAACGCTGGAGAGTCTTGTTTGACCGTTGACCAACCAACTGACAGACCCTACAGCTCACGGACTAAAAAGCTGGAGAGTCTTGTTTGACCGTTGACCAACCAATTGACAGACCCTACAGCTCACGGACTAAAACGCTGGAGAGTCTTGTTTGACCGTTGACCAACCAACTGACAGACCCTACAGCTCACGGACTAAAACGCTGGAGAGTCTTGTTTGACCGTTGACCAACCAACTGACAGACCCTACAGCTCACGGACTAAAACGCTGGAGAGTCTTGTTTGACCGTTGACCAACCAACTGACAGGCCCTACAGCTCACGGACTAAAACGCTGGAGAGTCTTGTTTGACCGTTGACCAACCAACTGACAGACCCTACAGCTCACGGACTAAAACGCTGGAGAGTCTTGTTTGACCGTTGACCAACCAACTGACAGACCCTACAGCTCACGGACTAAAACGCTGGAGAGTCTTGTTTGACCGTTGACCAACCAACTGACAGACCCTACAGCTCACGGACTAAAACGCTGGAGAGTCTTGTTTGACCGTTGACCAACCAACTGACAGACCCTACAGCTCACGGACTAAAACGCTGGAGGTTCTTGTTTGACCGTTGACCAACCAATTGACAGACCCTACAGCTCACGGACTAAAACGCTGGAGAGTCCTGCTTGACCGTTGACCAACCAACTGACAGACCCTACAGCTCACGGACTAAAAACGCTGGAGATTCTTGTTTGACCGTTGACCAACCAACTGACAGAACCTACAGCTCACGGACTAAAACGCTGGAGAGTCTTGTTTGACCGTTGACCAACCAACTGACAGACCCTACAGCTCACGGACTAAAACGCTGGAGAGTCTTGTGTGACCGTTGACCAACCAACTGACAGACCCTACAGCTCACGGACTAAAACGCTGGAGAGTCTTATTTGACCGTTGACCAACCAACTGACAGACCCTACAGCTCACGGACTAAAACGCTGGAGGTTCTTGTTTGACCGTTGACCAACCAATTGACAGACCCTACAGCTCACGGACTAAAACGCTGGAGAGTCTTGTTTGACCGTTGACCAACCAACTGACAGACCCTACAGCTCACGGACTAAAACGCTGGAGATTCTTGTTTGACCGTTGACCAACCAACTGACAGAACCTACAGCTCACGGACTAAAACGCTGGAGAGTCTTGTTTGACCGTTGATCAACCAACTGACAGACCCTACAGCTCACGGACTAAAACGCTGGAGAGTCTTGTTTGACCGTTGACAACCAACTGACAGACCCTACAGCTCACGGACTAAAACGCTGGAGAGTCTTATTTGACCGTTGACCAACCAACTGACAGACCCTACAGCTCACGGACTAAAACGCTGGAGATTCTTGTTTGACCGTTGACCAACCAACTGACAGACCCTACAGCTCACGGACTAAAACGCTGGAGAGTCTTGTTTGACCGTTGACCAACCAACTGACAGACCCTACAGCTCACGGACTAAAACGCTGGAGAGTCTTGTTTGACGTTGATCAACCAACTGACAGACCCTACAGCTCACGGACTAAAATGCTGGAGAGTCTTGTTTGACCGTTGACCAACCAACTGACAGACCCTACAGCTCACGGACTAAAACGCTGGAGAGTCTTGTTTGACCGTTGACCAACCAACTGACAGACCCTACAGCTCACGGACTAAAATGCTGGCGAGTCTTGTTTGTCCGTTGACCAACCAACTGACAGACCCTACAGCTCACGGACTAAAACGCTGGAGAGTCTTGTTTGACCGTTGACCAACCAACTGACAGACCCTACAGCTCACAGACTAAAACGGTGGAGAGTCTTGTTTGACCGTTGACCAACCAACTGACAGACCCTACAGCTCACGGACTAAAATGCTGGAGAGTCTTGTTTGACCGTTGACCAACCAACTGACAGACCCTACAGCTCACGGACTAAAACGCTGGAGAGTCTTGTTTAACCGTTGACCAACCAACTGACAGACCCTACAGCTCACGGACTAAAACGCTGGAGAGTCTTGTGACCGTTGACCAACCAACTGACAGACCCTACAGCTCACGGACTGGAGAGTCTTGTTAGACCGCTGATCAACCTATGCACCAACTTGCAGACGCAACAGCTCACCGAATAAATCTTTTGTTTCTCAATCGAAGCCTTTTTCTCTTATTTCCAATAATACCCCATTCAGCAATCTGACCAGTGGTATCTTAAAGATTGTCCTAATTCTTACAAATTAACCACGATGTGAAAGTATTTCCTCAAAGACACGGGTGCGAAGGCGTCGACGTCGACGTTGCCGCTGCTCACTGGTGTGTCCCTGTATTTCAAAACTGACGTTTTATGCACTTGATGTTGAATTATACTTGTCCATGCCTCAATGGCAGTACTTTGTGTTGGATTGTACTTGTCCATGCCTCAATCCAGTACTTTATGTTGGATTGTACTCGTCCATGCCTCAATGACAGTCCTTTATGTTGGATTGTACTCGTCCATGCCTCAA